GGAGTTTTCTTTTAAAATATAATAAATTTGTCTTTGAGCTTCTTTTCAAATCTATTCTTATATTTTAATTAATGAGAATAATAAGAGGGATACTGGTTTCTCTGGTATCACATTCTTATTGTATTTGCCTCATTGTCACATGTTTTCTCTCCTTCTCATCTCCTTTCATGGTGCATTCATCACCTTCATGTTCTATGCACGTGTGCGCGCACACACACACACACACACATACACACACACACTGCACATATGACAAAGCTTGCAACATTTGTTTTTCTGAGTATGACTTTTTTCATTTGATATAATGACCTCTAGTTGCATCCATTTTCCTCCAAATGCCATCATTTCATTCTTCTTTACATCTGAAAAAGAATTGTGTGTGTGTGTGTGTGTGTGTGTGTGTGTAACGTATTTTCTTTACTTATTCAGATGCTGCTGAACATCTACACTGGTTCCATTTCCTGTCTATTTTGAATAGTGAAGTGATACACAGAGGTGAAAGGATCTCTGTGATATGTTGCTTTAAGGTCATTTGACTCTATAAACCTAGAAGTGGTACAAGTGGGACATGTAGTAGCTCTGGCTGGAATGTTTTCAGGAACCTTCACACCGATTCCTTTAATGGTTGTACCAGTTTACATCCATCCCAAGAGTGAATAAGTATTTCTATTCCCCACAACCCTGTCAGCACCTTCTCCTTTTTATTTTCCTGATTCTATCCATTCTGGCTAGAGTGAGATGGATTGTAAAAAAACAGTTTTAATTTTAATTTCATTGAGGCTGAAAACATGGAATGCCTTTTCAAATACTTATACTAGTTGTGCTTCTTTGAAAACAATGGCTTTCCTTTCTTATTGATTGGATGATTTGTTATTTGGGTTCTTAATTTTCACAGTTCTTAATGCATTCTATAATTTCTGATACGTAGTTGGCAGTTGTTTTTTTCCATTCTGGAGGCTGTCTCTTCACTGTGGGAATTGCTGTGCTAGCTATGCTGAAGTTTCTAATTTTGTCAAATCCTATTTGTTAAGTCTTGCAAGTACTCCCTGTGCTGTCTGAGAACTTTTCAGAAAAACCTTGCCTGTGTCTACATTTGAATGTTTCTACATATAGGAAAGAATAGTGCTCAGGAAGTAAAAGAAACACAAGACCTGCACTTAATATGACTGATGACTTCTACAGCTCTTGAGACTCTTTCTGGAATTCTCAAGAAAGGAACATCTAAACAACAATAGCAAACATACTTTGTTCCAGGTATATATGCTTGAATCCAGAAAAGTGTTCCTGACACAAGATTTCATCACTGGTCCATGTTGTCCTTATTAGAATCTGGCCTTGAAGCTTTTTTTCTCCAGGTGAGTGGATTTGAACATGTGGGGAAACAGCCTGATTTGATGGTTGCATTTATACACAAATAGCACTTGAGAAAAAAATTGATGGGTTCACAATATGAATGGATCTATTAATCCACAATGACTTTATCATGAAGTAAATAAACATTACTTAATTAGGGTTGATAATTATAAGGCCATGGCAATCTGCATTGTTATTTTGCTTTTTCTTCCCAATAGGTTCTTAGGATAACCCCAGCAGCAGTTTTAAACCATCATAGACTGTGCTAATTCAGTAGCCAACAGATCAAAAGTATGGCTGGGAATCTAGCTTTCATTAGATCTGTAGCCTGGTAAGAGTTGGTTATCATTGCTTCTTACTTTATGTGACCCTACCCAGGAGGCTTCTGTGGAGTTTGAATATTCATCCTGCTTATATTGCACATTACTGATCAAGGGACTTGACTATTAAGACCTCAGTAGCTTTACATATATGAAGTCATCGTGTCTTTCAACATCGTATTCAAGATAGAATGGATTCACATTTGAATTTGAGAGGGCCTCAAACCCTAAGGAGGAAGTCCTCACCTTGTTATCAGTACATAAACATTCATGTTTTAAATAACTTACATCATGGATTAAAGTGTTTACCTTTCACTTGTTGTTTTATATACATAAATAACATTCAGTCCATTTTTTTCACCTTGTCAATGTGTCTTGCTAAAGTTATGTGACCAATGTTGTCACATTCATCTCTTACTTTAACGCTTTTCAAAAATTTCATCATCTCTCAGCTTCAGGACTTTCTTGTACAATGAATGGTAAAGCCTACCATAGACTCTAAGTTAGAATTGTGTGTATTAATTCTTCCCATACTGATAACATTTAACACGTACAAGTAACATTTTACTGCGCTTCAGAAACACAAAACTGTCTATAGATTGCTGTGGAAATACAAAGAGCATGGGAAGATGAGCTGCTGAAAGAAGTTGAAGAAGAGCCTAGGATGACAGGGCCAATACAAGCACGTGACCATGTAACCTGAGAAGAAAAGGGTCACAGATAGTAAGGACCTTAGATGCCATGCCAGTGACCCCATAATTTCAGTCCCTTTTGCATGAGACCCAACAACATTTCTGGTCCTTTGGAGCTAAGAAGAAAGGCAATATCCTACCACTGAATCTCCATTTTTGTTGAATGTAGTTCGAAATGATTGTCATTACTTGTAGTCAAAAGAACCACTTCTAAGATAGTCATTAAACTTTCCATTTGTAAATGGGCATGCAAACCCAGTCCAAGTTAAATATATTCTTATACACCAGGCATTAGGCTTCTAGGAACTGTAAGATGAGTTGACCAAATTTTTCACTGATGAAATATTTTGAGATAGGAAACAAGACCTGTCCCATCATCCTAGAAGTCAAAACTAAAAGAAAAAGTGTTTTTCATATTGTATTGCAATTTCAGCACAACATTCACTGGAGAAGCAGACATTTGCTCTGCCTTCAGGAAAACTGACGCCTCAGCAAGGATTCTCCAGAGACCCCTGGTAACTTTGAAAGATTATTGTAGACTGACTACATAAAAGTCACAAAAATCAAAAGAAAATTGAAAGCTAGCGGCATCAGTTTGTACACTAGACAGTATTTCTCCACAAATTCCAGGAAGTTCTACTGTTACGAGCATTCTTTCCCACCAGCCTGGGTACATTGTCGAGTTAGCCCCAAATGAATGCACAAATGCTATATTAATTATGAAACTGTTGGTCATTGGCTATGGCGTATTATTGACTAGCTCTGTCTGAATTATTAACCAATTTCTAATAATCTAATTATTTCCACATGGTCTTCTCTTACAGGAGAACGGGTCCAGACCTGTTACTCCTCTCACGTCCTACAGAGTGACTCACTCTGCCTATCTTTTCCAGAATCCTCCACCTCTCCTAGTCCCACCTATCTTGCTCCACTATTAGATAACAATAAGAGAAACATATTTAGAGAATGACATCTCCCATTATTCTGCCAGACTGTAGCTGCCTGTGACATCCCTCTGACTGTCCAAGGAAATGTGATAAGGTGGGCCATCACACAGCCATGGTCTCTAACTCACCCAGGCCTGGATCTCTCTTTTGGAACTATATCACTAGCCACTGGATATGGTCTTTTTCTTTTTCTTTTTAAAATCACAGTATATGCCCCACTACAAAGAAAGAATTCTAAACTACTACAAGCATTAATTTAATTTCAGCAAAGCCAAAGAAAACACAACTAGCATAAGGGCTGACCTTATTAGCATGTATGTGCAGAAATAAATATCCTCTTTTTCAAAACTAAGGGTGAGGTTATATAACACTATTGCACTAAATAAAAGGTTCTCAAATTACCTGCTCATCTTAATGTTGAGCAAAAATTATTTTATTTTTTTAACCTATGTAATATAACCTTTGGTGGAAAAATCAGTAAAATTATTCAGCAGGAAGAGAAGAGAGGTTGTATTTTTTCAATATGAAAAATAAGCTAAAGTAGTGAAAGAACTGACAAAAATAAATAAATTAAAAGTCAAATGTAGTGTAACTTTGTAATTAAATGCCTCCTAAAGTAATCAGATTACTTTAATCTTACACTCTGATGTTTAGTCTTCACTATGTTCATCTTTAGGAAATCTGAGCTGAGTCTGAAACTCCCTGGTTTGACTGTGCATCTTTATAATCATCTTTATTTGGATTAACCTTTCTAAGATCTATACCCTTAGGTATTGCTTAAGAAAATTGTGAATTAAGAAAATTCATGACTACAATTTGCTTTTGTTTTTTTTTAACCACAGCCAAATGACATACATGAAGTTCTATTTGCTCTATTTATGTGATCTTGAGGAAAACTTGGACTGTGTATATGGAAAAGGTTATTTGTTATTGAAATGACAATCTCTGATGTTTACAGTACATGAAGATGTTGCACATTTGAACACAACAAGTCCTTCCTTACCTTGTATCCCAAGAGTAAAAGGTTCACTTCAATCAGGAGTCTATTGCATTGTGAAAATAATTATAGGTTACATAGTCCAGGCCCAGGGAAAATGGAGATTATAATGAACCCATAATCACATTTAAAGTAATACCAAAAATTGCTTTCAAAAATATTTCATATTCTTTAGAAATATGGAAAAAATTAGGGTTCTAGCTCAATAGTAGAAGAAACTGGGCCAATAACATACTTTTTTAAAGATGTACACAGCCCCAGGACAGTTCCCATCACTCAAACCAGCAACAATGTAAAAAACTACTAAGAATTTAGAGACACCCAAGTTTGCAAGGCACCTCATGCATTTAAGATGCATTTCCATTGTCAGAGTATGACCTTTATGCTAGCAGGAAAAACAGAGTCGACAAATACAACTACATAGTGTGAACTCAGAGATGACAAAGACACCATTAGGTGTCATTTTCTGGGCCTGATTTATCACCGAAAGCAATGAATGGGTAAGGCTGTAGACAGGTCACACCACAATTCCTCTGGCTTTTTTTTTTTAAATCTTCGCCCATTTCCAATTTAGTGAATTTTTTTTACTATAATGTTTTTTCTAGCACATATTAATTATACAAAATTGGTTTCACTGTGACATTCTCATACATGTGCATAATACACCTCAATCATATTCTCCCACCATTACCTGGCTTCTTTATGCAACTCAAGGAGCTCGTGATCAAAATATGAAAGTTGAAGACAAGCTAGGACTATTTGGAGTCCTCCAGACCCAGAGTCCACAAAGAACCTTCTGAGAATCCCCTACTTAGAATACTCTGACACTGGTACTGTGTGCAGATCCGTGAGCTCCACCTTGAGAGTCCAGCCTCTTGGTGCAGGTAACAGAAATCCACCTGCATCAGTTAAAAAATAAATTTAGAGACGCCCTTCCTTGTTTTGTTTGTTGCTGTTGTTTTATTTTGTATTTTTCAGGACAGACTCACCTCAACATTCCACCACAGCAATGATGTCTGAGTCACTGGGGATGGTGAATATCCAAAGAGCATCCTGATTCCTGAGTTACAGCATTACCTTGAATGTGAAACATATGGACTAGATAAATTCAGTTTCATAAGGTTCAGCACACTGCTGATGCAAAGTTCTAGTGCTGACAGCATTCCTGATATGATTGTCTTCTTTCTGTTCCTGCCATCATTCATGTGGTCTTCTTCTAGCTGGCAAGTCTGGATGTCCTAGTAGCGTTAGCTACACAACAGAGTCACAAAATTTTTTAACCCCCTAGTCTGTACTTACTGGTTATCTAAGAACAGATCCTTTACTAGGCACAAGTCTCTGAAAGAGCCCTTAAAGCTGAAATAGCAATTAACATATTACTACAACAATCCCATTTATTTTATCAATTTATTTATTAAAAAGTAATCAAATGTGCTGTTAATTGTTGGTGACAGAGTAACACAGAAATATAAGCTGTCTTTGTCATTTGGATTACAATAAGTAGAACATGTCCTTTCTCAAAATACTGATGCCTCCCAAAAGAGAGATATCCTTTTGTCTAATTCATTGTTTCCAGCCCTAGTGTGCAGTTGAAGCCATAATTCACATAGGTTGACATATATCTCCATTAAGGGAAATCAACTTGAATGACGACCTCTTTAATTCTAACCTCGACCTGCATGACAAAGAGTGAGTATTTGAATTGCCTAGATGTTTTGGCTTTTAACAAGACTTGAGCAAATGAAGCCAGTTCCATGTTTTGTACCTTGGTATGTGTTTATAACAAATGCCACTTCTTAAGATTAACAGTTACTTAAACTATCAAGTTCATTGTCGCCTACTCTTATTTCCTTGTGAAAATAAAAGCATGATTTAGACCTGACTCTGGTGCATCTTAGATCTGAGGTATTAAGAAGTGGGAACCAAAATGGTCTCGTTAACTCAGGCAAGAAATATATTAGAGTCAGATGATAGCAAAATATAGTTCTCTACTAACTATTGCCTGTTGGAGATAAGCCTATAGACTGAGCGACTTTACACCATTCCCTACATAATGCAAATTATGCCCCTGTAGAATGATAATAAGGATCTGAACAAAGTATCTTTATTAAATTATAAGTACCAGCTCTGCAAAGAGTACTATAGAGTAGAATTTTTAATTATTTGAAGCTGATATTCTATAATTTACCTGACAAAATATTGACCATGTCCTTGTTCTATTGTTAACACTCCTCACTAATTATTTCTAACTGGATTTCTTGTAAATATACACTTGAAGATGACTTTATTGGTAGGAAGACAGCCAATGTTGGAAGAGATCAGTGAGCCTCAGATTTAATCATGTCTAAGAAACACTTGAAGTGCTTATTCAATCTGAGTTTTCCCAGTGTGCCTGAAAATGTGCATTTGTAAGTTCCCAGGGACCACACTTAGAGATTCAGCTGAGGCAGAGAACACAGCTGTCCTTAACTTTTGAAAACATAACCCAAGAAAGAGGAGTTGGCTTTAGATACCTGACCTAAAATTCAGGATTGCCAAATGTAGATGTGATTGTCACGCATATAAATTTAATTGCAGATAAACTACAAATTGTATATGTATAATTCTTATACAAAGAAATAGTTACTCAGTATCAAATTCTGAGTGTTTTGTCTGCTACTTTGTTTGTCTATTTGTGTTAGCTAAATAGGTGATTCTAAATGAGATAGGAGCATAAAAAGTTTGTTCCTGATGAAGATGCATGCATCAAAACCATTAAGATCATGTACTGGCTGCCTGTGCTTGGGGTCTGCCACTGCAGCCTCCATGCCAGCACCAGAAGCCAACGCACTGAAGCATCCTAGCCTCCTGCTCCACCCACGGGACTAGGTAAACCAGGACCCATCTCCAGGCAGGCTGCATGTGCTTGGGATCTGCCATTGCAGCTTCCATCCATCCCAGTGGGATCCAAAGCACGGCAGCATCCTAGTCCATTTCTCCACCCACAAGACCAGGAAGTAAGGAGCAACCAGAGCATTGGACTTGCCTAAACCCAACAAAAGGGAGCCCTGGTCCTGCACCCACCAGGAGAGGACAAGGCACCTTCTGGAATCCACTGCAAGAATGGATGGGAAAGAGACAATACAAAAACACAAGGAGCAACAGAAAAACCAATATGACACACCAGAGTCCAGAGACCCTACACCTGCAAGACTTGAACACTCCAACATAAATGAAGCATAAGAGAATGACATTAAGAACAACTTCATGAAAATGATAGAGATCCTCAAAGAGGATATGAGAAAATCCCTTAAAGAGATGGAAGAAAAAATCCAAAACTGCAAGAAATGGAAGAAAAGACAAAACAAAAATTGCAAGAAACAATTCAAACAGTACAAGGGCTGAAACCTGAAATAGGAACAATAAAAAAACACAGTCTGAATTAATGCTGGAAATAGAAAAGCTGGGAAAAATGTCAGATACTACAGATGCAAGTATAACCGACATAATAAAAGAGATGGAAGATAGAGTCTCAGGTGTTGATGATACACTAGGAGAATTAGATTCCTGGACCAAAAAAAATTTATGATCAAAAAACCCCTAACACAAAATATCCAGGAAATATGCAACACGGTGAAAAGACCAAACATAAGAATAATAGGTATAGAAGAAGGTGAAGAAACCCACCTCAAAGGGGCAGAAAACATATTCAATAAATCATAGAAGAAAACTTTCTCAACCTAAAGAAAAACATGCCAATGAATGTACAAGAAGCTTACAGAACACCAAATAGTGTGGACAAAAAAATCCCCTCGACACATAATAATCAAGACCCCAAACATACAGATTAAAGAAAGAATATTAAGAGCGGCTAGGGAAAAAGGACAACTAGCATATAAAGGCAAACCTATCAGAATTACACCTGACTTCTCCATGGAAACTCTGAAAGCCAGAAGGTCCTGAATAGATATTCTACCAACATTAAGAGACCACGAATGACAGCCAAGACTACTATACACAGCAAAGCTTTCAATCAATATAGATGGAGAAAAGAAGATATCTCACGACAAAACCAGATCTAAACAATACATATCCACTAACCCAGTCCTACAGAAAACTCTGGAAGGAAAACTCCAACCCAAGGAAGTTAACTACAACCAGAAAAACATAGGCAACAGATAATCCCACTTTACTAACAGGCAAAAGAAAAAGTAGTGGAAAACCACATACAATTCCGCCATTAACAACCATTCCAAAACAAATGAGAATGAGCCATAAATGGTCATTAATATCCCTCAATATTAGTGGTCTTAACTTGCCCATAAAAAGACACAGGCTAACAGATTGGATTCAAAGACGGAATCCATCCTTCTGTTCCATACACGAAGCACACCTCAGCTTCAAAGACAGACGTTACTTCAGAGTTAAGGTTGGAAAAGATTTTCCAATCAAATGGATCCAAGAAACAAGCAGGGATAGCGATCCTAATATCTAACAAATTAGACTTTAAACTGAAATCAATCAAAAGAGATGAAGGAGGTCACTTCATACTCATCACAGGAGAAATCCACCAAGATGAAGTCTCAATTCTGAACATCTATGCCCCAAATACAAAGGCATCCACGTTCATAAAAGAAACATTACTAAAACTCAAAGCACATATAAAAACACACTCACTTATAGTAGGAGACTTGAGCACCCCAGTCTCACCACTAGACAGGAATACCAGACAGAAACTTAACAGGGATACAAAGGAACTATTAGAAGTTATGAGACAATTAGGTTTAACAGACACCTATGGAACACTCCATCCAAGCACATAAGAATATACCTTCCTCTCAGAACCTCATGGAACCGTCTCAAAAATTGACTACATACATGGCAACAAAGAAAACCTCAATGGGTACAAAAAATTGGAATGACTCCATGTATCCTATCAGACAAACATGCTTTAGAGTTAGAATTAAACAACAGCACAAATGGCAGAAACCCTGAAAACTCATATAAATTGAATAATATGTAATTGCACAACAAGAAATAAAAAAGAAATTAAAGACGTCCTAGAATTGATGAGAATGAAAACACAAGATATCCAAACTTATGGGACACTTTAAAAGCAGTGTTACGAGGAAAGTTCATAGCACTAAGTGCCCACATGAAGAAACTGGAGAATAGTCACACTAGAAAATTAACAGCACAAGTGAAAGCTCTAGAACAAAAGGAAGGAAACTCACCCCAGAAGAGTAGATGGCAGGAAATAAATTGAGGGATGAAATCAATAAAGTAAAAACTAGGAAAACAATACAAAGAATCAATGTAACAAAGAGTTGATTCTTTGAGGAAATCAATGAGATAGACAAAACTGTATCCAAACTTACCAAATTGGCAGAGTATGAACATGCAAATTATCAAAATCAGAAATGAAAAAGGAGACATAACAACAGACAGTGAAGAAATCCATGGAATCATTAGGTCATATTTTGAAAACCTGTTCTCCACAAAATTTGAAAATTTAAAGGAAATGGACAATTTTCTGGATAGATATCACTTACTAAAATTAAACCAAAAACAGATAGTGTTATAGTTCAATTTAAATAGACCTATAACACCTAAGGAAATAGAAGCAGTCATCAAAAGTCTCCCAACACACACACAAAAAACTTCAAGGCTAGATGGCTTCAGTACAGAATTCTACCAGAAATTCAAAGAACAGCATATACCAATTCTCTTCAAAGTATTCCATGCAATAGAAGCAGAAGGGTCTTTGCCAAACTCTTTTTACAAAGCTTCAATAACCTTGATATCTAAGCCACAAAAAGACACAACTAAGAAAGAGAATTTCAGACCAATATTCCTCATAAATATTGATGCAAAAATACTCAATAAAATACTGGCAAATTGGATCCAAGAACACATCAGGAAATTCATCCATCAAGATCAAATAGGCTTCATTCCAGGGATAGAGGGATGGCACAACATAGGAAAATCCATCAATGTAATCCACCATATAAACAAGCTGAAAAACAAAAATCACATGATCATCTCACTAGATGCTGGAAAAGCCTTTGACAAAATCCAACACCCATACAAAATAAATG